TTCTGTACTCTAGCTTGGGGGGCTTGATAATGCCACCAACTGGGCAGAGAACCCAAGACCACCACACAATCTCCCCCACCCTTATGAAGGAGAGTTGGAGAGCACTTCAATTGCAAACAGTTGAGTTCATGTGTAATCAATCCACAAAGGATAAGAAAATACTACTTAGCTAAAAAAATCAACAATTAGTATTTACTTTCCCTACCCAGAATTATAATCCTTTCAATAAATGGATTAGCAGAAAAAAGGCATTTCCAATACAAAACATCAAAGTGTAAACTGAAACCATTAAAAATAAGAAACTTGGGGCGCCTGGGTGGCTCAATCAGTTAAGCGTCTGCCTTCAGCTCAGGTCATGGTCCTGGGTTCCTGGGACAGAGCCCCGCATTGGGTTCCCTGCTTGCGGGTAGCCTGCTTCTCCCTCTCCTCCCAACTCGTACTCTCTCAAATTAAAAAAATAAAATCTAAAAAAAAAAAAAAAACTTTACTACTTTTGTTGCAGGAGCCCACTGGAACACTATAAAGAAAAAAACATTCCACTTCCAAATCCAAATTTTTGAAGAAAATGGAAATTCTAATTCTATAGGTCAGTAGCAGAAATCTTCAGGTGATTTTAACCTCCAGCCAATTTTAGGTACCAAAGATATGCTTTATTACCAGCTCTCTTCTCAAAACACACACATTACCCAGGTGTCTCTGAACGGCAACATATTTCTTCATGATCCTCCCATTTAAAACTGCTAAAGAGTTTGCCCATTTGTTAACAGAATAAAATACAATCATTTTAGCATGACAAAAGACCCTCCATAGTCCATTATCTATTCAAACTTGATTTTTCATCCTGTTAGCAACCAAATTATCCACTTCTCAGACACATCAATTTTATTTTGTCAATGCTGCTTCCAATTGCAGCGCCTGGAATGCCCTCCCCTCCCCGTTCAGCACCTATTCATTTAACACAATGGCGATCAAGAGCCAATTATACAAGCTTCTCCCAACTTTCACAAGTAGAATTGATGACTTCCTTTAGTGTTTTCACTGTAACCTGAACATATTTCTAACATGGTACCTATCATTTTATTATGTCTGCCTCTTCTTACTAGACTACAAGTTCCTTGAGGGCAGAAAATGTCTGATTTATAAGTTTTATCTCCAGTGCTGTGGATCTACCTAATGTAAGTTTATAAAGAGGAAGAAGCCAATCCTAGATACACTGTATAGTTAAAGACACTACTAAAAAGTCAAAAACACAAGGGAAATGAACCAGCTTAATAAATCAAACATAATGTTAGAACCTATATATTATACAAAATGCTTATTTAATGGTCCAGAGGTTGGTTGGTTGGTTATTTATTTACGTAGGCTCCACACCCAGCATGGAGTCTTGAACTCACAACCCTGAGATCAAGAGCCTGACGCTTAACCTACTGAGCCACCCAGGTGCCCCTATCTTTAATACTTCTTAGGGAAAGGGTTTTCAGACTATCTTCCCGAATTGTTAAAAACAAAAAAACCTTTAAGCCTTATCTTTGTCAAATGTAAAGAAGGCTTGTAGACCATCTCACTTTTGCTTTAGTTATGACCTCAACATATTCTCATTGGTAATGTCAATCAGATCACTGACCTAAGTTCAGTATTTACTTTCTATAAAGATTAATGAAAATTAGTTAATACCTTTGACTGTATGTTTTAGACTTAGTAAACTGGAGAGAGTTAAGTAAACTGGAAAGAGTTGACAGAATGCATGATTTAGGCTATGAAAATTTCACAATTGGGTAGAAAGTGATCTGAACCAAGATACAGCAGTAACCACTATTATTAAAGGAATTTTAAAGTCCTCTGGGCCAAATGGTCAAATCCTGTATAAGCTAATCATTGAACTTTCCTTGATGAAGACAGTTATTACTCAAAATAAAAACTGTATGTTGCCCCTTACATCCTTATAGAGAATATAGGAAACTGTATGTTGCCCCTTACATCCTTAGAAAGAATATAGGGATCTTTCTGAAACAGAAGGCTCAGAACAGATTCTGGGCGCATATTTTGACTCTCCCATGAACAATCTTAACCAACACCCAATTAGCAGAACGGCAAGCTTTTAAGGAATGTGTTATAATTCTTTGGTCACCACAATTTAATGAAAAGGAACTTTTCTTACTTTCAGAAAGCATAAGAAAGAAAAGTAACACTTAGTGATTTGGCCAACCTCCTCTCAAAAAAACATCCCTCGTTTAAAAAAAAAAAGCAGGGAGGAGTTGAGGGGAATAAAGGGCGTGAACTACCCTTAGCCTCAAAGTGAATTCCTGCCTGAAGAACTACAAAACTCTCATTTCATCATTTTTAAGACAGGATAAAGCTAATGCAAGATATTCTTATGAAGCGGTGAAAAAATTTGCATGTATGAGAAAGTCTCAATGTTAGTCTCTGAAAGTATGAAAAGGAAAACTGGTTTATTCTCTAGAATCAGGATTGATCCCAAGAGATAAAGTGGTTTCCAAACTGTCAAAATTGGTTAACATCTGAGACACGAGGTACCAGGCTACCAAAAACAACTTATTATTGGTGATAAATATACACAATGATGATAATAAATAATGGCTAGCATTTGCTAAGTGATTACGTGCTGGCACATATACTTTGCATACACAAGGGAACGAGAAGTTAAACTCCTTTGCCTGCCAAGAAAGTAGAGGATTAGGATTCAGGTGCCCCTAACCTTAAGCCCAAGAATGCTCTTACAGATTGTGTTATACTGCCTCCTACCGGTAGTCAAAGGCTACAGGGCAAAGAAAAAAACTGAATTCTGCCAATATGAATCAGTTCTTGAAAAGGTCACTGATATCAACAAGACAAAGATATGTTGGTGGTACCTGGGGTCAACAGCAAGGTTAACATCCCAAACTAACGTTGCAACAAAAATAGAGAAGTTAGGATCAATTCAGAGTGGAAACATCCAAAATCCAATCAAGGAAACCAATATATATCCTTAGACACACAACTTATTAAATTTTATTGTCCTCAGCCTAATGAAAGAGTGTCCTAAGAGAAAGACGGTGTGCACATTATGTCTTAAAAAGGGGACTCTTGTAGTGGGCAAAGAGAAAAGGAGGGGTAATTGAGAGATCAAATTTAGAAAAGGTTTTACCTAGGGAATGAATTCCCTGATCCAGATAATGCCTAGGGGAGAAGGATACACCACACTAACTAGTCTATCATAAGGTTATCTGACTAATTCCCCTTCCCGATTTCAGGTTCACTAAGCAGCTAATTATATTTTGCATTCCCCCTCAGATTTGCCTACAGGGACAGACTATGCTGATAAGAGTAACTGGTCCACTGTATATTAAAAATATTCCTTCTAATTGTCTTTTTAGAATTTTCTAAATAACCAACCTACGATTATTTGGAAAAGTACACTTTCATTTTCCCAAGTCCCCCACCGCCATCATCTTACAACATATTACTTAACTCTTTAAAGCCCCCGACTCTGCATCTATAAAATAAAGATTACTTTGCAGAGTAAGGTAAAGTGTGCTTGGCATACAGAACACAAGTAAATGTTAGTTATATTTCACTCCATTACCCAAGGTCACAAAGCTAGTAATTGTAGAAAGCTGAGACCTGAATCCAGATTTACTCCAAAACCCATTCGTGTTCCTTTACAACATTCCCTACAGGCTCTAGTCTCAGTTGTCATCAAGGACTAAGCCTTAGAACAATTTACTTAACCTTTTGGGACTGTACATCTTTAAGTGACCTTCCTTGTAAGGCTTAGGCAACTCAAATTTGTGCAAAAACTATTACCATTCTCCACTGGGAAAAATAACCCTATGCTTTAAAGTTAACTTCTGAGAAACTACTGTGCTATGGGGTTATTGGATAGCACCTAATTAACTCCAGCATAAGTGTTCTGAACAGCGAGATCACTCCAATAAACACAAGAGGGACTAATATCCAAAAGTTGACTTTCTAAAATCAGTGACTGGCTACCAAAACAAAAGAATGAATTCCATCTTCCACACAGGTTGTCTGAAAGGCTTAAAACAAGAACTGCTCAACATCATCTCTTTTGGCTTGAAAAAGGATTACCAAAATGGTAAGCCTACTATCTTTAAACTGGAAATATTAAAACAAGAAATAACAACTGAATTATAGCTTACCTGTTTTGTAACTAAAGACTTATGTTTTCAAGGACTTTAGTAAATATATTCTCTACCAGCCTACTACCTGATAGGAATAACAACACAGGAAACATCCTTAATATGCGAAGTTTAAAGTAAACTGCATTTACAAGAAACTTTTTAAAAAGGGAGGATTATAGAAAATCTCAGCGCAAGAATCTGGGTAGAAGGAAACAAGTAAAAACTCCAGTAGTTCACCAAAGCATGCCTTTGGTAAGAGAAAGTTCAACAGAAAGTTCAAGGGAGATGAATTTAGTAAAATCATTCCCAAGGAGTGTTATCCAAATAGCTTCCTCTACATTTACATACTGCTATCATATTTCACATTATCCTGACCTGATAATAAAGAAATTTTCTCAGCTGAATGTTTTCCTGAAAGGATTAGCGTCAAAGGTTAAGGGAATTGTTTAATTCATTCTTCAGAGTCGCCAGATTTGACTTCCATCAGCATGCTGGAAAGACTGAAACGTAAGGCAGCTTTTCTAAAATCACAGCTAGTAAAATTTTTGACCGTAAAGTCCACTTTTTAGGGCTTAAAACCTTCAACCTCGCTTTCTTAAATTTTTTAAAAAATCTGATGGGCAAAACAAGGAATCATAAAAAATAAATTCAGCGCTAGGATTAGAAAATTGTCATTCCATCCCCCACCCCCCAACACAGATAACTTTTGAAAACTTGTTCTCAGGCTTTCTAAACCCCCACGCATCAGCTCCCTGCAATTCCACAACTGGAACGATGCCTTCACCCAAGAAAAGTGTTTTTTGGCTGATAAATCTTTCCCTAAAAGATCCAAAAAAGTAGGAGCAGGATATACTGTACCTGGGCGTTGGCTTCGTGGAGTTTGTGCTCATTAGAGACGTGGTGTCTCAGAAGAAGGGTTTTCTTGTAGTTTCGGGTCCCTCGCGAAAGCTCATCGTGCCCCACTTGAGGAAGGTCCCCGCTTCCCCCGTCCTCTGGGGTCTTTTGGCACCAGCCGCAGGACATAAGGCCAGTATCCTTGGAATACCGCAGCCAGGGAAAATCTTTGAGCCAAGAGGTCTGGAAGGAGCACTGTAGCTTCTGCATTAGGGACTTGGGCCGCGCGAGCGGGAAGTGCTGGACAGTCTCTCCTTCGCCAGCTCCCACACCGCTGCCCTCCACTTCGTCCCCGCCATCGCCGCCCGACCGCCTGCTGCTGCTGCAGCTGCCGCCTTCCGCCCCGCTGCCGTCGCCCAGGCTCGCCCCCTCCTCCTCGTCCTCGGTGCTGTCGCTCAGGGACGCGCCGTCCTGCATCAACTCCTTCCCCTCCAGCGCGTCCAGCTCCAGATCCACAGCCGCTGGCCCTCGCCCATTGAAATGCCTCAGGGGCCACGCCGAGGTCTCGGGGCGGCCGCGGCTACTGCCATTGTTGCCGAGACCCCCGCCGCCGCCGCCTCCTCGGAAGGCCAGAGTCCGACGGTTCCTTTCCGCTAGCAGGGGGCCCCCCGCGCCACCGCCGCCCAGCGAGGTGGGGCCGCCCGCGTCTTGGGGGAGCAGCAACTCCTTGGTTTCCTCGGCGGCGGCGGCCGCCCCAGCGGAGGCCTCCAGGTCTTGGGGCTCCAGGCCCTCCAATTCCACTTCCTCGTCGGCCCCCCGCCCATTGAGCTGCTGAGGCGCTAGCGGCTGGGGCTGTCTTGGCTGGGGCTGCTGAGGCCAAGCCGAGGCCTCCCCGCCAGCGTTATTGTTCGTGGAGCTGCCGCCGCCGCCGCCGCCGCCACTGGCGGTGACCAACCCGCCTCCTCGGAACGCCAGCGTCCTGCGGTTCATTTCACTGAACGACATGGCGCGCGCCGCCGCCGCCGCCCGGTGCCCCGGCTCGCGCCCGGCCTCGGGCCGCGTCCCGCGCGCTCCCCGCCGCTCCCCCTCGGCTTCGCCCCCGCCCCCACCCCCGGCGTTCCGGTCTCGCGGGGCTCGGCCTCGCCCTCCCGCCCGGCCGCCGGGCTCGCGCTCGCTCCCGGGGCTGCCTCACGCGTCCACCGCCGCCCGCCGGGCCGCCGCCTCCGGCCGCCTCCTCGTCCTCCACCCCCGCCCCGCTGTGCTCCGGGCAGCGTCCCGCGCGGAGAAGGGGGCGGGCGGCGGAGAGGTGAGCAGCGAGCCGAGGGCGCGTGGGGCCTTCGAAGTTGAGAGGCGGAGTGCGGGGAGACCCTCCGCTGCCCCCTCTTTAAAGCCGCGCGCACACACCGACCCTCCAAACAGATATCCTTCCTCCGGTGCGCCGAGGAGTCCCGACGCCGCCGCCGGCTTCCCAGGCGCTGAGGGCGAGAGGCACGTTAAACTGCTGGGCTCCGCCACATAACGAACCGACAATAAAGCCGGCGGAGCGTTTCCGTCCGACCAGGCCCTGGCGGAGGTCGAATGGCAAATGAACAACGGACCGTGCGCCCACAATGCACCGGGGTAGCAGTAACCGCTGGAGGGGGAAAGGGTGGGGGCCGGGCTGGGGGAGGGGGGCTGGGCTTGGGGCTGGGCTGGGGTGGGGTGGGGGCGCCAGGGGACCGGGAAAGGGGCTGGGCCGCGCCTCCGGCCTGGGGGCGGGGGTGCGGCTGGGGGGGAAGGAAGTCGGCCGAGGGGCGGGGGACAAAAGGCCGAGCTGCTGGCTGGGGGTCTCGGGGAGGGGGCGGGCGTGTGCGGCCGGGGCCGGGCTACGCGGAGGACAAACAGCTGGCGAGTGTCAGGGTCTGGCCGCCTCCCCGCTCCCCGCACGCACCTACCCGCGCCCGGGACGCACATTTTCCTTCTCTCGCCACGAGTTCACCTGGGACTTTGGAAATAACTGTGCGGTGGGGGCTGCTGCGCTCCAGCCTTGTCATTTCCTAGGGGTGGGTGGCGGTGCCCAAGGAAGTGAACTTATTTTGTTCCTTCACAAAGACTGGACCAGGCGGTGCCTTTCACACAAGGAGGTTACAACCACCGACACCTCCTCGTCTGCAGCATTGTGTGTGTGAGGCAGCACCTCAGGCCCAAGGCAATAATCATTTCACAGAAAATGCACCGCCCCGAGTGTCTTATTGCTGTGATGAAATGGAAATTTAAATAAAAGGTCGAACACGTGCGTTCACTGGGAAGTATTGACATGGGTGTTACATCACCACCAGCCAATCAGATAACTCCAGTCGTGTTTATACTTCTACAACCACCTTGTGAGTATTACAGTATGTCATAACGTTATAAATATTAGGCAGGGTTTTCCCCAGGAGCGGGGAGGAGTCTGCTTATACGGACGTTGTGTGCGACTCCAAGGATTGTGTATCTAAAGGCAAGAATTAGTTATTAAGATTTATTTTTTAATTGTTTACATTGCATATGGAATTTAGAATGATTAGAAGAACAGATTGAGCTAGAAATGAAACTCATACTCTTGGTCGAGTTTTCCAACTTAGAGCCCTTATACTCCTTGAAATTTTAAATAAGCTAAATTTTAAAGTGTTTAGACTCGTTTTACTATTTTAAAATGTGAAATAAATCTTATTTTTTATTCAAACCTATTTCAGGTTTTAAAAAGATGTTCTCAAACTATGGTGAGGCTTTTTAACTTTAAAGAAATTTATTAATATTAAAAGTTTAATCACAGGGCCGCCTGGGTGGCTCAGTTGGTTAAGCGACTGCCTTCGGCTCAGGTCATGATCCTGGAGTCCCGGGATCAAGTCCCGCATCGGGCTCCCTGCTCGGCAGGGAGTCTGCTTCTCCCTCTGACCATACCCCCTCTCATGTGCTCTCTCTCTCTCTCATTCTTTCTCTCAAATAAATAAATAAAATCTTAAAAAAAAAAGTTTAATCACAAACTAATATGAAATATATTCAAGATAATTACTCTTGAAAAAGGGAAAAAGGACATTTATATGGCAGGGTACACTTTTTACATTAAATACGTTAGGATGTGCATAGAAAAAATTGGAAATATGCACAAACTCTTTCACTTACAGATTATTGTTAGAGGCTTTAATCGTCTGCATTATGTATTAATGGAAAATTATATATGTTTAATAAAGAGCTTGTGTTACAGCTTTTAGGCCCTCTAGTTTTATGGTTCTGTTCTCAAAATTTGTATTTTTAAAATAAGAAAAATATTATAGCTTTGAATATGTAATGTGGAGTATGGAATATGGTATGTTTCTGAAGATTAACTTTAAAAAACAGATTTTCTCAGACATATTATAAAATACCATTAGTATTGGGGCACCTGGGTGGCTCAGTCATTAAGCGTCTGTCTTCGGCTCAGGTCATGATCCCGGGATCCTGGGATCGAGCCCCGCGTCAGGCTGCCTGCTCCGCGGGAAGCCCGCTTCTCCCTCTCCCACTCCCCCTGCTTGTGTTCCCTCTCTCGCTATGTCTCTCTCTGTCAAATAAATAAATAAAATCTAAAAAAAAAAAAATACCATTAGTATTAATATTTTTCAATGGATAAGCACATGCATGGACATCGAGACTCATATATACTGTTGATTGTATTATACAAAGCGACTTCCACTTAATTCACTATAATTTTAGTGTCTGTAGAAATAAACAGTATTATATATCAAACAAAAAGTATTAGTTGTATCTTAGAGACGAAATATGATTTTAATGTAAAGAATGATGCTGATAACCTGCCACAAAAAGGCTTTGGCTTTGAGTTATTTTTCCAGTAATAATCATATTGTCATCTGCCTACCAGTGATCAACAGCTTGAAATTCTGATGAAGATCCTCACTTGGTACTGTTTGTGGGGTTTTTTCTTCTTCTTTGTGTCCTGCTTTGTTTTAATTGTTGGGAAATCTAAGACAGTAGAATCATGACACCTAATTTGTACCTTGGAGAAGAAAGGATTCTGCCTGCTTGGGCACATATAATATGTGCTTCCATGTAATATATAGAAGAATGTTATAATAATACTGTACTTTGTCCTTAACGCATTTTTTCAATTCCAGGTACTTTGCAAATAAATGCATTATTTATTGTATTTTAACCACCACTGCCACCCCCATAAAAAGAGAGAAGAATTACTGAAGTTAATTGCTTATCTAGGATTAAGGTAATGGTAAGTGAAAATGGACTTAATTTTTATTTCAACTTTACAAATTGTTTTCGTTCCCAAACTGTTAAATGCGTATCTTTGCTTCTTTTCATCTTATTTGTCTAGTACCTAATAGGCATTATGTGAGTTTATGCTAGTATTATTATTTTTGCTTTCTGGTAGCACCAGAGTCACCAGAAGTGTTTGAATCCCTAATGGTGTGAATTGTGTCAGGACTGTGTTTTCCTCAGACATATATCTTACCTTATATTTTGTAAAAATCACCTTGTTTTCTATCTGGAATTATATTTAAACATGGATTAATTAGGAATGAATACTAGATTCAAATGGTACAAATAAATGACTTATATCTAGGACTACTGAACTTCCAACAACCAAATAGTGTGACTGTGTGGTGTGTGTATGTATTTATATTTTTATCATTTATTCTGTATAAATATATATTCAGTTGTCTTTCTCCAAATCCTAAGGCAGATGGAATCAGAAGCAAAGTAGAAGATAGTACTCACAAATGTCTCAAAACAGCCCTAAGAGGGGACTTTGAGTAACAGAAGGGGATCTCCTGTTCTGTAAATGGAGTTTTTAAGAATTCCCCCACCCCTTCCAGTCTCCTGCTAGCAAGCAGGGATCTGTTCTCCCCTAAGCCCCTACATTTGCTGTTGGGGGTTCTACCATATTTAAGGGGATTCCCCCTTATGCTTACCAGGGGAACCCCTCAAGAATGGGGCATTCCCCAACCAATTTATCTCCTAATTTCACTTTAGGCTATGTAAAAGTGCTGTAGGTTACCTTGATACCTTGATACCGGCCCACTAGAACTGCTGTGAGGCAGAGATCCTATACCTTGGTCAGCTGATCTTTGATAGCCAAATGTGACTGTCGTTTACTGCCGTGGTAGGGACACTTTGCCTCTTTAGTTTCTAGGGTCAATGGCCTTTACTTCTGTCTGTGGGATTGACATGTGTCATCCACCAGAATGAAGTACCTGAGAATGTAACTGTGTGTTATTCACTCTTATAATCCCCTACCCCAATCCCAGCTTGGCACATAGTAGGCAATTAGGAAATGTTTGTTGAATAATTTATCTTTCCTTGCAATGTGTTTTGCTAGGCAACTTTTTCTTCTGTTTCTTCTTTTTTCTTTCCTTACTAAGTAAAAGGCATTTTTTAAAGTACTGAACTAATGTTTCCACTGAATTTACGTTAAAAAAATAATCATATATATACAATGGAATATTATTCTGTACTAAAAAAAGAAGGAAATCTTGCCATTTGCAACAACATGGATAAAACTGGAGGACATTATGGTAAGTGAAATAAGCCAGACACAGAAGGAAAAATACTGCATGATACTACTTTTATGAGGTATTCAGTCAAACTCCTAGAAGCAGAAAGTGGAGTAATGGTTGCCAGGCGTTGGGGTGGGGGAGGAAATGAGAGGTGTTAGTCAAAGGGTACAAAGTTTCAGCTATGCAAGGTGAATAGTCTTAGACATCTACTGTATAGCGTCGTGCCTATATTTAACAATACTGTACTGTATAAAATTCTGCTAAGAACGTAGGTCTTAAGTGTCCTTCACAAAAAAGTAATAACAAAGTGGGCAGTAGAAAACTTTTTTTTTTTTTAATTTATTTATTTGACAGAGAGACACAGCGAGAGAGGGAACACAAGCAGGGGGAGTGGGAGAGGGAGAAGCAGGCTTTCCGTGGAGCAGGGAGCCCGATGCGGGGCTCAATTCCAGGACCCTGGGATCGTGCCCCGAGCTGAAGGCAGATGCTTAACGACTGAGCCACCCAGGCACCCCAGCAGTAGAAAACTTTTGAAGGTGATGGATATGTTCATAGCATAGATAGTGGTGATGGTTTCACAGCTGTATACTTATCTCCATATTCATCAAATATAAATAATATTATTATTATTAACACTATTTTCTATGTAGCTTACAGTGAATTACAGTTTACACACTGTCTTGTAAGTTAAATCAAGATAGGTATTATTATCCTCATTTAACAGATGACGAAACTCAAGTACAAAAGGGTTAACCAACTTGCTCAAGATTATTGGATGAGGCAGAAGTGACATTTGTAAGGTTGAAGACAGTCTCTAGTCTAAGGCATCCTTCCCTACTAAAACACACATGATACCCTATATCTGCATAATTATAGGCTACACTCAATTTTAAACTTTTTTCATACTTTAAACATGCTCATAGAAAAAAATAAGAAAAAAGATAATTCATTTTTTCTGGTAACAAAACTAACCACTATTGTGTAAATATAGTCATCTTTTTCTGTGCCTAGCTAAAGTGGTTTTTTTGGTGTTTATGAACTGGATCTTAGCATATTTGTGCTTCTAGTTATTAATATGTTTTAATATGATTAAATATTTTTAGTGTCATTTTAATGGCTATGGATATACCATAATTTATTTAACCGGTCTTATATTGTTGGATTTATCATTGTTTACAGTTTTTTTTGGTAATTATAAACAATTCTTTAGTGAATATTCTTGAAACTAAAACTTTGTGTCTATTATTTCTTTTGGATAAATCCTAAAAGGGGAATTTCTTGCAAGAGGAATAAACATTTTCATAAAGTCATTAGTATCATTTGATTGCCCTCCAGAAATGCTCTCAAAAGTGTAAAAAGTACCGAAACAAAATACAATTAGGGAAGTGTTTTTTTTTTTTTAAGATTTTATTTATTTGACAGACACAGCGAGAGGGAACACAAGCAGGGGGAGTGGGAGAGGGAGAAGCAGGCTTCCTGCTGAGCAGGGAGCCCTACACGACTCGGGGCTTGATCCCAGGACCCTGGGATAATGATCTGAGCCCTGAGCCAAAGGCAGACACTTAAACTGAGCCACCCAGGCGCCCCCAGTTAGGGAAGTATTTTGATAATATTGGGCCATGAAAGACCTAGGTCTAAGTAGAACATATAAACAAGAGCTTTAAAGAAAAAGCTCTGACAGAATTGACTATATAAAATTATAAAACAAAAGTTTTTCTTTTTTAAGATTTTATTTATTTGACAGAGAGAGAGACAGTGAGAGAGGGAACACAAGCAGGGGGAGTGGGAGAGGG